CATAATCAAAACATAAACCCAACTATGCTCCAATAAAACCGTTCTAAAAACAGGCAGTGTTCACACTTGGCCTACCTTACCCTAGTCTGTCAACCTCCAGTCTAGATGAAATACTTTTAAAAAAAAAGTTAATGAATTATTTGAAACAATACCTCCTCCACATATAGGCTGAAAGCTCATATAAAAGTTGCCACACCAAAATCCCAGAGCACTATTCACATAGAATGTTGTACTATTTTTGTTGTTAAGTAATGAAACCTATTTCCCATGTTGATTGACTCGGAGTCCTCCCTTCAAACTCCCCAGGTTCCATAAAAAACTCAACTATTACTATTCTTATTTCAATATTTCAACTATGTCTCATTTCAACATATGGCTAATGATCTTCTATTTTTTCTAATGAAAATAAGCAGAATGAAAAGCTTCGTAAAAATGCAGATTCCATGGCTACAACTCAGACCTATCATATCAAAAATATTTGGTAAATTAAACTACTGGCATTTTTCTTTTTAAGTTCCAAGGATGTGCTGCAAAGACTGAAAACTACTAAATTTAGCCAAAAAATGTGATCAATGGAGAATGCATCAGATTCTACCAGAAATCACAAAATAAATCAACTTGTAGGTTGGAGACCTCAGGAAAAAACCCACATTTTTAAAAAGCTGCCTGAGTGTTTCTCTTGCACTATTTCAAAAACACTACCATGGAAGAAGCATTACATCCTTAGCCTCTGGCTACATCTCCTTAATGCTTTGGCCTCCTTATATAATATACTGGGTAACTACAATGGAACTGCTCTGATAAAGAAACATAAATGAATCTAATTATTGCCTTAGCATATAATATACATTTATTTTGAGGTTTATTATGCACATGTGTTTAAATATCCAGGGCTATTCCCACCAACTCAAACAAGTAAAAATTCTTCAGTATCAATTCACGTATATATTTTGAAACAGATCTGAAAGGCTATTCTTTTACTCACTAAAAACCAAACATTAATATTTACCACATCAAAAACTTACCAAAAACGTACTTCTAAAAAAAAACACTCCTGAAGTTTTAAGACAAAATAGCATCCCATATAAGCACTGCCCCAATTTACCTAAATAAAGTATTTTATATCTACTTGATACAACTACTAAAGTTAGAATGACATTTAGATACTTTTATATTAGCATTTTCCAAAGAAAGCAAAGTTTACTCTAAGAAACTGCATTTTAAAAATATTCTAATTAAAATCTCCACATCACTCCAATGCAAATTGAACCCACAAATAAAGACTGGTACATTGCAATACTTAAATATTTAAACTACTTAAGTAAGTGGAGCAACCTAATATAAAAACAATCACAAGACAATCGTAAAAGACAATGTCTTAAATTTTTACACTAACATTGTAACTTCTTGTGATGTGTCCAAAAGCTGTGAAATTGTGGTAAGTAGAAAATTCCAATCTAGTAAGTACTATCAAGAATATGGTTCAAATATACTACAGTATGGTAAAAGCAAAGATAAACCTAAATGTACTTCAGACATAGCGAAAAATATATACATTGTTATGGTAATCAAATATACACTATGATATAAGAGTGAAAATTAACATGTTTTATTTGTGATTACCAGAGCTTAACTTCTTCTAAGAAATAAGTTCTAAAATAAAAATGACAACTTCTAGTTAAAGTGCTAACATATCCTTGAAACCCTTAAAAATATGTTCATGTCATTATATTATAAAGCTGAAAGCTAACAAAGAAAAACATAACCAAATAGGAAGTGTGCTTTCCTTCATATTTTATTACATTCAAAAAAATTATTTTTCAGGACACAAAATATGGAATTCAGTTTTTATTTTATACTTCAAAGCCCATACTATTATTTGTTGGAATACTTCTAATAGGTATATTAGAGAGAAATGAGAGATGGAATCTTGAACCAAGTAAATCTGCTTTTACTCTTACTACTTGGGCAAGCTGAACACTTACCATTTGATTCCTCCCTTTAAACTGAACAGTGAAAAAGGAGAAAGCACATAAGAGAGCCTAATTTCAAAGCTTTTAAAAACAAAAACAAACATTAAATTTAACAATTTTTTCCAAAGACAGATTTCAAAGTAAATGAAGAATAAATGATAAAACAATTACTTCAATGTTTCTATTAACACAAAATGGTCGAGACTTATAGAGAGCTTTTGTTAGTATTTCTTTAACGCTTGATTAACTTATATTAACAAATATTACGAAGCCAGGAACCAAATAAAACTGATACCAAAATGATGAAAAGCTTTCATCTATCCATTCATTTCTAACCTGAAAAACTCTAAAAATGTGACAAAGACTATATTTCCCCTAAATATTTGATTCCATTGTTATATACTATTTTAAACATGGTTCCACTTCAGAAAATTAAGAATATACTAACTTTGTGACCTAACAAGAATATTATTTAAAAACATAAAAAACAAACCAGCACCAACTCTCCAACCCAGAGTTCAGCAAACTTTTTCTGTACAGGGTCAAAGAGTAAGTATCTTAGGTTTAATGAGTCACAAATATTCTCTAATAATCTTTCTTCTCCATTAACTCTTTAAAATATAAACACAATACTTAGCTCTGCTGTAGAGTGGTATGAAACCGGACAGTGTGTCCCAGGCTACAGTTTGCTGACTTCTGCACTAGCCAAATTAATCTTATGATGCTTCAAATACGCAAAATATACTTTTAACTACTTGAAAACAAAGATATCTTAATATTAAAATATATCATCTACATTTTTAAGAGCATAACCTGGTGAATAAATTATATATTTTTGAAATGCTTCAATAACCCCCCAGTGAATATTTTAAATATGTAATTCATTTATTCTCAAAGTTCATCAGCTACCTGTAAAATTTTACTCACCAGTGAAATTAATTTTAAACATGCTTTTAAATTAAGAATTTGCAGTATTTCAATTTTAAATTGTAGCAATATTTCCAAATAATTTAATAATAATTTTCTGAATAGAGAAGAAAAATCTGTCCTTCGTTAATTATACCTATATTAAATGCCACTGAACATATGCAAATAACACTGGAATGCATTTTAAAAAAACTGAAATAATTTCAAATAGTCTGCAAGCAAGTTCATGATATAGCCAACTTAAATGTAACAATGCATTTTACTTATCATTTTCTTCTAGTCCCCCTAAATGATTTATGCATATGACATTATTAAAAATAGTTATATATGTGCTCCATGAATGTGAAGTTTATGCCAGAAAATTAAGAAAGCTAATTCCACCAATTCTGACTACAGGAAAGCACTTAGGAAAAGAAATGTTCAGGTACATAAAAAGGACAAGGAAGAATTTCCTAATCCTAAATGGAACAAAATAATTTCCCTAAGAAATGTATCATATGTGGTTTATACCCTGATTATAATTGAAAATAAAAACTCTCAGTCACTAGTTTTCAAACTACCGGCCAAAATAATTTTAATTTCACACACTTTCATAACATTGTAAGATTTCCTCACATTGATAAATCCAACAGATTTGTGTTCAACCAAATGACCTAAGACCACATTTAAAATATGTCATAAGCAAACACTATGTATGCAAGTAGGAAAAAGAGAATTGCAAAATAATGCTAGAAATTACTCAAAGTAATTTACTCAGAAGAAATTACTAAGAAGAAAATTTACAATGTGTGAAAACACAACGAATTTGGTAAAGGAATTTAAAAATCAATTAAATTAAACGTTTAATAGGACTTATAAATTAGGAACTTTCCTAATTGAATTTAAATGCCACATAATTTTTAGTCAAAGGATATTTACTGATGCAATCTAAGATAAAAATATATTATACAAGTTAGGATGTCTTTTACTATGTGTATTCTTTTTTAAAGAAAAAAGTTTAAAATTTTTCAAGGGACAGAAGAATGGAAACAGGTCAGAAAGAGTCACGGACTTAAATTAATACTTTTAGCCTCAGAAACTTATTAAAGAATCATGGCTTTTGAATAGCTAGAGAAAAAAACACTAGTAAATATTTTTCAGAATAAGGACTAGTAAAATGGCATTCAACTAAGGTGAATAAAGAAACTTGTTAAACATCACTGCAAGGATAAGTTCAACAAAATCTAGGATGTGAGAAACAGGAATCTGTTTCTTAAAAAAATAAGGAAAAAATATAAAAGGTAAAGAGAAAACCTACAGACTAAAAACACTGGATTTATCAGCCAATTTGAAGAAACCAATTGTAAAAAATGTTTATAAAACCCTGGCAAATGTGGGCTTTTATGCTGGTTAATATTAAAGTAGTAACAATTTTTAAGATATGACAAAAATATTTTTAAAGAGTCTTTATCTTTTAGGGATACTTACTGAAATACATATTAATGAAATTATATAAAGTCAGGGATTTAATAAAAACTAATTCAGGAAAGTGGGTATACTTAAAGATGAAAAGATCAGCTGTGTGTTGATAACTGTCATGGTTGGGTGATGAGCACAAGCTGGTCTACATTTGTATATATCCACATTTGTAAAATCTTCCAATATAAAGAATTTTATTTATTTCATTTTTTCAAAGTTTATTTAAGTAAGTCATCTCCACACACAATGTAGGGCTCAGTACTCAGTACCCCAAGATTAAGAGCTGCATAATCTTCCAACTGAGATAACCAAGCACACCTAAAGATTTTTGATATAAATAAATGTTGAAAATCAATCAAGTAGAGATGACAGATTTATCAAGAGTTGTAATTCAGAAGGATATATTTAAAAAAGGTAAAGTAAAATGGAGAAAAATTTAACATCTTTTCAGAAAACATTAACAGTATCTTCAGAAACTTTTAAGTTATTACCTGTAAGAGGTTAAGAAAATTATTAGTTTAACATAAGCATGACAAATTCAGAAAGATTAAAAAATATATAAACCAACATCCAAAGAATTCTAAATATGCATTGTCCACCTGACAATATGAAATAATTTTAGTTAACTAGTATTTTACTTACATTTTCCATATAGTTTGGCTTAAAGCCCTCTTGTTGTCGCCTCAGTTCCTCCTGTTCTCTGTGTCGGATCATTTCTTCCTCACGGCGTCGATGCTCTTCCTCATGTCTGAAAAATTTTTAAATAAAAATGTCAGTATGGTTGACATGTAAGCCAAAATCAGGAATTTTATTTGAGGTAAAACAGGTATATCATTTATACTCGTTACTTTTATGCAAAATCTGTGAATAATGACTTACTAGATTTCCTTTCCTTCTAAGCCTTTAGTAAATCAAATTACCCAAAGAAATAAAGTAACTAGGATAAATCAAACAATAGAGTAACCTGTAACTAGGATTTTTATATACTTTTACAGTCAAATCAGGAGTCCAAAAGCTTAAAATACGCACTCCATTACTGTATAAAGAGAAAAGCTTGGGCATAGCAGGGTTCTTAAAGGCACCCAGAACTAATCCTGATACAAGTCACTACAAAGAACACTGTCTAGTCAAAAAAAATCTATTGTGTGTCGAAGGAATCCTTAACAAACCCTCTCCCCCCCATTTTATCAACCCACTGAAGAATCCATGGAACAGATGTAAGCCTACCATCTGTTTTAGTAAACTAAGTTTTATAAAACAATCACTTACTTAATGTCTACAGCTAGCTTTGGGCCAAGGCAGTACTGAGTAGTTGAGACAAAGACCTTATGACCTGCCAAGTCTAAAACATTTGCTATCTGGCCCTTTCCCAGAAAAAGTATGCCAACCTCACCCCTAGAGGTATGTGGGAGAAAAAAATATTGAACTGTATGTGTGCAGAATTGCAAATAAATGAGGAACTGCTTATGATTAAGAGAGAAAACCTACAAAATATCAAATAGATTCACTAATTATATTGGCATTTATGTAAATGCAAATTCAAGTATATATGCCCTCTACCCAAAAACAAAAAAATAATTTAAATAGTGAAGACTATATAATACTGATGCCCTCTCATTAAGTCTCATTTTCTAGGTTGCTCTTTTAAGTACCTTACTACACTACACGTATAACTTAAATTTCAAGATACTCTGTTGTTTCTTGTATAATGCTTCCCCTAAACACAAGGCTATGAAAAAATGGTGATATTTCCCATAGACAGCAGAAAATCCAGCTGTTAGAGGAGTTTGGGTCAGACCACAAAGAAGTAACAATGTTCCTAAGGGATTTTAGGAAAAATCTAGACTATTTTGAGATTTTTGTCTAAGTTCTCAATATACATTTTCTATTCACATAAAATGAATAATCAAGAAAAGTAGTTAATAAAAAAAAAAGAAAAAAAAAGAAAAGTAGTTAATTCACTTCTTGGATATTAACACACTCAGAAAAAATTTAAAAGATTTTATCCATTTATTGAGAGACACACAAAGAGAGGCAGAGACACAGGCAGAGGGAGAAGCAGACTCCCTGTGGGGAGTGCGATTTGGGAATCAATCCTGGGATTCCAGGATCACGCCCTGAGCCAGAGGCAGATGCTGAGCCACCCAGGCATCCAGGCATCCATGTAATAGAACTTTAAATGGGCAAGTCCATTTCCAATAAACTAGAAAGAAATATCTACAAAAACGTGCAAAAATATATGTACAAATAGATATACACTGTGCATTAAGGACGAAAGGTTGAAGACACCATCAATAATAAATAGGAAACAAGAATGGCTCATTGATGTCAAGGAACACAAAACAACTATTATGAAGTTCTAACTATTACAGGCACACAAAACACATTTGCATTTACTGACACATAAAAATAAAGCACAGCTATCAGGAAAAACACAAGTAAAAGAACAGCATTCCTACGTTGATTTTAAAAATCATTTGTATGAGCATTTGTATGAGAGTAGGGCAGAAAAAGCTTATGTCATACTGGGAATAATCTGGGAACATACCATTAAATTTTTACTTTATACACTTATCACTGAGTTTTGTTTTATACATGTATTGCTATAACATTTTAAAACAAAACCCAAATATTTTATTTTATTTTTTTTTAATAATTTTTATTTTATTTAATTTATGATAGGCACACACAGAGAGAGAGAGGCAGAGACATAGGCAGAGGGAGAAGCAGGCTCCATGCACCGGGAGCCCGACGTGGGATTCGATCCAGCGTCTCCAGGATCGCGCCCTGAGCCAAAGGCAGGCACTAAACCGCTGCGCCACCCAGGGATCCCAAAACCAAATATTTTAAATAAAATTTGTAATGTACTTTTCCTATTGTTAAAGGACCGTTTTTTCTGATATAATGTGAGAATACATTTACAAATCAGGAGTAAAAAGGTAAATCACTTTAAACAGTTATTTTTGCTTTCTACTACTTTTTCTATAAATTTAAGAATTTCTACTTTGTTTTGAATTAAGTTCTGATAGCACACTGACAATTCCAAAATCTGAACTTACAGACAATATTCAGAAATATTCCCTATTATATGTAGGTGTGCTTTTAATTTTTTCTACTTCACAAGATGCTTTAATGAGTATTTTTATATGTATATTTAGTGTCTCTTCAGGTGGATAGAGAACTTCCTAAGTCACAATTAAAAATGAAACTAAAAAAGTGTGACAAATTTTAACAATTTTCATGTTAACTGGAAAATGGAAAATGGAAAATGCCAAAACCTCCATTTTACAATTTAATTTGAACCCACTAATTATTTTCAGGCCTCTTGTATTTTTGTAGGATTTTTTAAAATGGAGATTTAGAAACTAAACTATGATAGAACTAATGCATAAAAGTGTCCTGCTACTCTTTGTTCCTGTTAAGCACTATGCTCTCCACACCTACTGAAGGGCTCAGTACATAAGATCTTTATGTCAAATGACATAAAAAAGGGAAAGAATAAGTAGATGGATAGGTGAGTGAGCAGAAGAGTGGTAAGAAAATGAAGAAATAAATGAACAAATGAATTACTCATTGGTCAAGTCACAGCTTGAACCAGCTCTTCACAACACCTTGTCCTAGTGTTTCTCTTCACTGCCACAGCCTCTAAAAGATTAAGTGATCCATGAGAAACTCAGCAAACCTTCTTCCCAAGTAGCCTCAGAGTGAATTTGACATTTTTTTAAAGAGAACTGATTATCTTGTACTAAAGTCTTTCAATCTTTGGTTCATGTTATATTTCCTCATGGAGTAGCCGGAGGATATAAATTTTTGGCCAAAAAAACCCAGAAGTGACAACTGATTCTGCTGAGTGCATCATGTCAAGCAGTTCATGGTACCAATGTCCTATTACAGGTGATATGAACCTTAACATTTGGTAATGATTAGTGTCTATTACTTCATCACTTTAAATTTACTAATATTTGGTAATAATAGTGTCTGTTACTTCTCCACTTTAAATTTACTATTTTTTCATTTTTCACAATACAAATGAGTGTGCAAATTGTGCTTCTAAAGTTTGGGCAAAAACCTGAAACACTTCTCAGTAAATCTTATAACAATTATTGCTATAGTGTTTGTCCAACTGGTGATTTTCTCTCTCATTCCTTCCATATTGACTAACTGGAATTCTACTCTAAGGAAGAGCTGTCCATTCTCTTCCATTTATTTGTTCATTTGATTATTTACTTCTCTCGGTATGGACTAATAGATATGTACTTTATTCTACAGTTTGAAAACTAATACTATAATCTTTTATTTTGTTGTTGAAACTGTTCCAACTTTGGCCATTTAGGAGCACTTTCAGTTTGCCTCTTGTGTACTTTCAACATGCCCCATCTTCCTACTTCATTTTATTTAGCTTTGCTTTAGTGTGCACTTCAGATATACAGTGATTCTAGTTTTGTTTTTTTGTTTTCTTGTTTTTTGTTTTTTGTTTTACAAACTGAGGTTCTGGGGCAACGCTGCATCAAGCAAGTCTATAGGCCCCATTTATCCAAAAGCATCTGCTCACTTTGTGTCTCTGTGTCACATTTCGGCAGGTAATTATCACAATATGTTATTATTATAGTTGTAATAGTGATATGTGATCTTTGATGTTGCTTACTACTGTAACTGTTTTGAGACACCAAAAAACACACCCAAACGTTATCAATAAATACTGTGTGTTCTAAATGCTCCATTAACAAGCCATTCCCCCTATCTCTCTCCCTCTCCTCTGTCTCCTTTTCCTTGGGTTTCCCGACTCTGAAACACAATACTGAAATTAGGCTGATGCCTAATCCTAGAATGGTTTCTGAGTGTGTTCAAGTAAAACAAGAATTGCATGTCTCTCCCTTTAAATCAAAACCTAGAAATTAAAAAAAAACAAACAAACAAACAAACACCTAGAAATGATTAAACTTAGGAAGGCAGGGATCCCTGGGTGGCGCAGAGGTTTGGCGCCTGCCTTTGGCCCAGGGCACGATCCTGGAGACCCGGGATCGAATCCCACGTCGGGCTCCCGGTGCATGGAGCCTGCTTCTCCCTCTGCCTGTGTCTCTGCCTCTCTCTCTCTCTCTCTGTGACTATCATAAGTAAATTTAAAAAAAAAAATTAAATTAAAAAAAAAAAAAAACTTAGGAAGGCATGTCAAAAACTGAAAACAGGCCAAAAGGTAGGCCTCTTATACCAGTTAGCAAAGTTGTGAATGCAAAGGAAAAGTTCATCAAGAAAATCAGTAAAATGGTACTTCAGTAAACATATGAATGATAAGAATACAAAACAGCCTTGTTGCTGAAATGCAGGACTTTTAAGTAGTCTGCATAGAAGACCAAACCAGACACAACATTCCCTTAAGCCAAGACCTAATGCTATTCAATTCTATTGAAAAGGGAAGAAAGAGGGAAAGAAGCTTGAAGCTGGCAGAGATCCAGCTTTATCAAGTTACCCAAAAGACCTAGCTTAGCTAATTAATGAAGATGGCTACACCAAACAATAGATTTTCGTTGTAGATTAAACCACCTTAGACATTCAAAGCCACAGAGAAGTCAATGCCTGGAATCAAAGGACAGACTGACTACCTTGTTAGGGGCTAATGCAGCTGGTGACCGAAGATGAAGCCAATGCTCACTGACCATTCTGAAAATCCTAGGGCCCTTAAGAATTATGCTCAAAAAAAAAAAAAAAAAGAATTATGCTCAAACCACTCAGCCTGTGCACTATACAATGGACAAAAATGCCTGGATGCCGGCACATCTACTGACAACGTGGGTTTACTGAATTAATGTTAAACCCACTGCTGAGATCTACTGCTCAGAGAAAAAAAGATTCCTTTTCAAAATACTGCTGCTCACTGACAATGAACCTCGTCACCCAAGAGGTCTAATGGCCAGACACAAGATTAATGTTGTTTTCATGCCTGCTGACACAACATCCATTCTGCAGCCCACAGATCAAAGCAATTTCAACTTTCCAGTCTTACTATTTATATTTAATACATACATTTCATAAGGCTATATAACTGCCTTAGACAGTGATTCCTCTGATGGATCTGGACAAAATAAAACGAAAAACTTCTAGAAAGGGGATCCCTGGGTGGCGCAGCGGTTTGGCGCCTGCCTTTGGCCCAGGGCGCGATCCTGGAGACCCGGGATCGAATCCCACGTCGGGCTCCCGGTGCATGGAGCCTGCTTCTCCCTCTGCCTGTGTCTCTGCCTCTCTCTCTTTCTCTCTGTGACTATCATAAATAAATAAATAAATAAATAAAATTTAAAAACTTCTAGAAAGCATTCACCATTCTAGATGCCATTAAAAACATTTGTGCTTCATGGGAAAAGCCTAACTATCAACAGAACAGGAGTCGGGAAGAAGCTGATTCCAATCCAACCCTCATGGATGCCTTTCAGTTGAGGGGCTCAAGACATCACTGGACGAAATAACTGCAGATGTGGTGGAAACAGCAAGTGAACTACAATCAGAAGTGAGGCTTGAAGATGGGACTGCATTGCTGCAATCTCATGATAAAACTAACGGATGAGGAGCTGCTTCTATGGATCTGCAAAGGAAGTGGTTTCTTGAGATGCAATCCACCCCTGGTGAAGATGCTGTGGAGATTGTTGAAATGCCAACAAAGAACTTAGCAGATTACATAAACATAGTTGATAACACACATCAATAGGGTTTGAGAGGACTGACTCCCAACTGTGAAAGAAGTTCTACTGTGGATGAAATGGTATCAAACCGCACCACATGCTATAGAAAAATCCTTCAGGAAAAGACAACTCTTCATGTGGCAAACTTCAGTATCATCTTATTTTAAGAAACTGCCATAACCACCTCAACTTGATCAGTACTTAATTAAGACATGCACATTTTTTAAACGTAATGCTATTTTATACTTAACTAAGTAGAAAGAAGTAACTAACTTCATTAATTAGCTTATACTTAACTAAACTATAGCTTATTATAAACTATAAGTGTTGGTATATACGTAAATATAACTTATAGGTGCAAATATAACATATATACTGGGAAAACAAAAAACTCATTTGACACACTATTGTGATATTCACTTTACAGCACTGGTCTGGATCTGAATCTGCAAGCATCTCCAAGGTTTGTCTATGAAAGAGTGTTTGAGAGGATTCCTATTTTGAAAGAAGTTCTAGTGAGTAAAACGCTATCAAACAGCATCACACAAGTAAATACAGAGAAAGTCTGTATTTGTGAAGAGAGTCAAAAAATGCCACAGCCTTCCCAAACTTCAGCAACCACCACCCTGATCAGTCAGCAGCCATCAACATCAGGGAAAGAACTTCTACCAGCAAAAAGATTTCAACTCCCTGAAAACTCAAATGATGGTTAGCACTTTTTATCAATGAAAGTGTTTCTTCGGGGATCCCTGGGTGACTCAGCGGTTGAGCACCTGCCTTCGGCCCAGGGCATAATCCTGGAGTCCCGGTACTGAGTCTCGCATCGGGCTCCTACACGGAGCCTGCTTCTCCCTCTGCCTGTGTCTCTGCTCCCCCCCATGTCTCTCATGAATAAATAAAATCTTAAAAAAAAAAAAGTTTCTTCATTAAGGTGAACATATGTATTTTTTAGACATAATGCTCTTACATACTTGTTATACTATAGTGTAGTATAAACATAACTTCTATATGCACTGGGAAACAAAAAAATTCATTGATACACCCTATTGCTATATTTGCTTTATTCTAGTGGTCTGGTTCCAAACCTGCAGTATATCAGAGGTACATCTGTTCTTATTCCCTGGCACAACACTCCAGGCTCATTTTGGACTTTTTAGTTCAGTAACTAACCACTTCTCCACAAAGCCTCAGTGCCTTTTAGTAGAGAATGGTGTTTTAAACAGGAATATGGGTCCTCTGTGTGTGCTGTTATTGAAGCATCACTTCACTGCTTATAGGCAGACAGGGGTTATGAAATCTATGCATGCATGTGAACCCACACATATATACACATCTTTATTTCTCTAAATTAAATACCACCGAGTTCTATTGATATCCCTGATCCCAATTCAAATGTCACTGAATTCATTTTAGTCTTAAGTTTTCTCTTTTTCTTCTTTCTCCAACAATGAGAAAACATTTCATTATCTACATTTACTAATTAGTTCAACTCAAAAAAGTATACATTTTTTTCACTAAAGACGTGAACAAAGTGAGAAAAAAGTATATATAAAAATTAGCTTCAGAACTGCTAACTCAAATCCCTGAAACACATTAACTAACTAGATTACAAAATTTATATATTGTTTTTCTTGTCATTTGCCTATAGTGTCCAGTCAAGACAGTGTTTTCCAAAGTTATTTAGGTTCCTTATTTTCTTCCTCATCCCCTTCTAGGGTGATAATGTTATTCACCTTCAATGCAATTATGTTCATTTGTTTGTTTTTTAAAGACTTTATTTTTAAGTAATCTCTACCCCCAATGTGGGGCTCGAACTAACAAGCCCAAGATTGAGTTGCATGCTCTACTAACTGAGCTAAGCCAGGTGCTCGCATTTGTTTGGGTTTTTTGAAATGCCTTCTTATGGGTTCTCCCATATTATTTGGTTAGATCATTTATTTTTTCGGCAAATGAAAGGAAGGGTACTATTTCTAAAATTAGTCAAGTATAAGGGAAAGATGGGAGTCAGAGTTTTATGTTTGAGGGAGAAGATTTCCTTTTTTGTAGAAGTATGATAAACCTTTACTTACATAAAAAGGAAAGAAACCACAAGGAAGAAATTGGGAAAAGGTCTCCATATGATCATATGGGATTTTTTAAACAATAGTGGTTCTCAAAATTTATGATGCATACGAATATCCTAGAAGACTAAGTACAGGTGTCTGGGCTCCACTCTACCATTTCTGATTCACCAGTTTAGGGAAGTGGAGGTTTGTAATTAGAATGCTGATGCTGTCTGTCCAAATATCTTAATTTGAGAATAAGTAAGAGTAAAATCAGAGTAGCTCCAAGACAGAAACATATATACATTGATATAATCAGGTACAAAATTAGAAAAACTACATTAAAATATATTGAATAGGGGATCCCTGGGTGGCTCAGCGGTTTAACGCCTGCCTTTGGCCCAGGGCGCGCGATCCTGGAGTCCCAGTCCCGGGAATCAAGTCCCGCGTCAGGCTCCCGGCATGGAGCCTGCTTCTCCTTCCTCCTGTGTCTCTGCCTCTCTATCATAAATAAATAAATCTTTAAATATATATATATATATTGAATACTACCTATTATTTCCAGACCATAAAGACACTTGACATTTATTCAAGGCTTTTAGTCTTTTTAATTTCCCACTTTAAAAAACAAAACTTTGGGGCACCTCGGTGGCACAGTTGAGCATCTGACTCTTGGCTTCAGTTCAGATCATGACCTCAGGGCCCTGAGATTCAGACCCATGGCAGGCTCCACATTCAGTGGGCAGTCTGCTTGAAATTCCTTCTCTCCCTCTCCCACTGGCCCTCCACCTCAAGCTTGCTCCTTTCTCTCTCTCTCTAAAATAAATAAAAGCTGTTAATTTTTGTTTACACATCTTAGATCAACCACTCCCCCAAATTTCCTTATTTAACCTAGAAGATTTTAAGTTGACCATCACAGTCATCTATTTTATACTGAATTTTAAATCTCCATATCTCAATTTACCATGTATTCTACTTCCACAAAACTTTAAGTGAATTATCAGACGCACAAAGATGTATAAAAGCATTCACAGTAGTGTTATACACATGGAAAAACTGAAACTAAGAATAGTTCACATATGTCCAGCACCAGAAAAATGATCCAGTAAATCACAGTGCATTCTTACAACCAATTATATGCAATACCTAAGCCCCTATGTAAGTTCACAGTGAATGCAAAGTGTCCATAACCAGATAAAAAAAATCATAAGAATAGCAAAGATTTATGCTAATTTATAAAGCAATTCCCAAAGTCAAATAGACAATTTTGTTATTTTTTCTGTATTTTCAAACTTGTACAACTTATTTACGATAGGCAGTAGGGAATTTTATTAATATCACAACGATAACTACGTATATTCACATATATATTACCATGATGTCCTTTACCTCAACTGTATCTGCTTCCGTTTTTGTAACTCTTGGTTTCTGAGTTCTTCCAAGCGTCTGAGTTCTTCTTGACGCCTCATGAGATCTATAAAAATAGAGTACACATTAATATTTTTGCCTTCCCTTTCTGTATTTTTAAATCAATAATTATATAATTGATTGCTGGCAACATTAACTTATTCATACTCATGCACTTCTTTTGTCTATTGTATCATTTTGTAATGAAAGATTATAAGCAGTGTGATTAATCAAATTAGTATATTTACTGGACCTGTTTCTTCCTATGTATGAAAAGTAATAAAATTCATCCTTATGTTAAGAAATTAAGATGGAAGTAACTATTTTAACATAAGGCCTGGAACATACTAAAAACAGAATGGTAGCTATATTTTCATATACATTCTTTCAAATGAATTACTATAATTTTTTTCAGCCATGAATGTAAAACCCAAAAAGATGCACTGGGAGACAGGAGCAGAGGTCACATAAGAACCCAAACAAACAGTAAAAGTAGTAAGACAGGATACTGTTTAACATCCAAATAATATCCCTCCCGATACAATTAGCATTAAGATTCCTCCCACACAAAGTCAATTTCTTCACCAACCCTTGCCATATCATCCAGAACAGGGGTTCCAGAGTAGTAGAAGATTAACTATCAGGTAATTACTTAAGCTGGAGAAAACTAGTAGACAGCAAAAATATTTAATCTACTCATATTCCTAATAGGAAATGTTTCGATAAGCCAAAATGTAGAGAGTGTACTATGATCATTAACTACCCAAGAAAGTCTATTCAGTATATCCTATAACAATTTTATCATGGTTTTGTAAGGTAATTGCTCTTACCATATATAACAATGTAAAAATATGCATTACATTTTCTTCCACAAAAAAGGGTAAGAAAAAAAATAAACATTTGTTTTCTATCAACTAGATTTTCTCCTTTTAAGCTGTACCATTTGAGAAAACTACTTTAACCTCTCAGAATTTCCACATCTGTAATGCTCGTTTAATAATTAGCTCAAAGACTCCAACAATAAAGTTATCAGATAAGCACATTATCCAATTTAAGTAGGAACACTATCAACTTAAAGCAAAACCAGCATTTACATTTACTAAATTATTTCTTTGGGATCCCTGGGTGGCGCAGCGGTTTAGCGCCTGCCTTTGGCCCAGGGCGCGATCCTGGAGACCCTGGATTGAATCCCAGGTCGGGCTCCCGGTGCATGGAGCCTACTTCTCCCTCTGCCTATGTCTCTGCCTCTGTGTGTGTGTGTGTGTGTGTGACTATCATAAATAAATAAAAATTTAAAAAAAAAGATTATATTAAAAAAAATAAAAATAAATTATTTAAGTTGCTCATATCCAAAATTCCTGAAATTTCAACATAGCTTACATTTTGTACACTGCCATAGTAATATCCTTCTGGGGGAATATATATATATATATATATATATATGAAGTTTTTTCATCCTTTGATGAAGGGACAGTAAATCAGTCAAAAACTTTTCTTAAAAAAATCCAAACCATCCATCCATACACATAAAGACATCTGGTACAGCACTACTTACTAAGAAACCAAAAGAAGTTTGAAAATGCTTTCCTAATTTGTTGACAAAGAACCTAAAATTATATCTGTAATTTCGATATATCATAAATACATGGGAATATAAGGGAATAAGAGGGAATACAGACAAATTTGGAAGTTTGCACTGAGGATGCAGGAGTGGCTCAGTGTTTAAGCATCTGCCTTTGGCTCAGGGCATGATCCCGGTCCCATGATCGAGTCCCGCCTCAGGCTCCCTGAGGGGAGCCTGCTTCTGTCTCTGCCTGTGTCTCTCATGAATAAATAATTAAAAATCTTTGAAAAAGTAAGTAAAAAGTTTGCTCTGCACTGTGTTTTCTCAATTTAATATTCTTCAAGTCAGGAAAACTGAATGTATATTCTCTAACAGTGTATTTTCCAGAAATAGAAGCACTGAATCTACAGATTGACAGGGCATATTTAGTCCCAAAGAAAAGCAGAAACACTACACTGGTATAACAAGATGGATCTGAAGTACAAGAATGAACAGATGGAAAGATGTAATAAAGTACAGTAAAATGTTAGTAACAGAATGTAAGTAGTGAACACCTTAAAATTTCTTCAACATTATTTTCAAAATTTCTCTTAACAAGAGCTGCCTAGGTGGCTCGGTCAGTTAAGCATCTGACTCCTGATCTCAGTTCAAGTCTTGATCTTAGGGTTGTGAGATTAAGCTCTGTGTTGGGCTCCATGGTGGGTGTGGGGCCTACTTAAAAAGAAAAAAAGGAGAAAAAACTTCTCTTAACAAAATATTGGGGAGAAAAAACACATCCTGGGTAAGTTACTGGACTTTGCTTAAGAAGAATAAAGTTCAAGTCATTTCTGAGACAAGAAAAATTCAGGCTTACCTCAGACTTTCCCACACAAACATTCAATGCGAGAAGACAATGAAACATGCTATCAAGTACTTAAGGAAAGGAGAAAAAGATCTATGAGTTTCAAGCACCAGTTTAAAATATAGGGATCAAGATAATATTTTAGAAGATGCAACAACTCAAGGAATGTTTTTTCTGTGAACGCTTCCTTAAATCATTATGAGAGGGTAAACAACAATCAAATAATGCTACTTAAAATTGGGTTAAAATTTAAGCACATGAAGATCATCATTAAAGAACATTAAGCTGAAATGAAAACATGGTATCAGAGAGATATGTGCACTTCCATGTTCACTCCAGCATTATCCACAACAGTGAACATTTGGAAACAACCTAAGTGTTCATCAACAAATGAATGGATAAAGATGTGGTATCTGTGTATGTATATATCTATACACCACATAATGTGGTATATACAAACATATATACACTCAACTCATATACACAGACACACAATAGATTATTCAGCCACAATAAAATGAAACTCTACATTTCCAAGAACACGGATGGACTATGAGGCATTAAAGCTCAGTAAAATATGCCAAAGAAAGACAAATACTGCATAGAACTTAAACGTGAAATCTTAAAAAAAAAAAAAAATCACACTAATAGAAACAAAGGAGTAGAAAAGTGTTGTCAGGGGCAGGGAAGTGGAGTAAAAAGAAAAAGGTTGGTAAAGAGGAAAAGCTTTCACCTATAATAAAGCCTGAGGATTTAATGTATAATGTAGTGACTATAGTTGGTGACACTGTATTGTATAATTAAGAATTAAGAGAGTAAAACTTGAATGTTCTACAACACCAGAGAAAATTAGCTTTTATACTAAAAAAAAATAATTAAGTTAATGTCATTAATCTAGACAAATCAGATGCAAAATAAAGTTGAGAGGAAAGGAGAACAAAGGAGGAATAAATTATGCCTATTTCCTTGTTTTTTCCTTCAGTAATCAGGATCAAAAGATATTTATTTATTTATTTATTTATTTTTAATTTATGATAGTCACAGAGAGAGAGAGAGAGAGAGAGAGAAGCAGAGACATAGGCAGAGGGAGAAGCAGGCTCCATGCACCGGGAGCCCGACGTGGGATTCGATCCCGGGTCTCCAGGATCGCGCCCTGGGCCAAAGGCAGGCGCCAAACTGCTGCGCCACCCAGGGATCCCCGATCAAAAGATATTTAAAACCAATTTACTTCCACTACTTGATTTATCAGTACAAAGGCATATATATAAACACTGATGATATAAATGTAAAATTCCAGTGGTGAAAAGAGAAGACAGTAATAACAATATACCTAGCAGAGTTAATTTCATCTACTGAAAGTTTATAACTAAAGGAACAAAGATAATACAAAAATAAACATGTAGAAAATTCAGGAATTGTCTCCTACGCTAATGACCAAAAACAAAGGAAGAAGGAAAAAAGTAACCTGTAACAGTATAATGGGATTTGGATCTAGAAAGGATTAAATAAACATCAGTAAAGTACCAAAGTACAATTATTAAAACATATTGGTGTATCAAAAAGAATTAAAATTTACAAAACCTTGCTAAGGTATATACATAAATATTCATTGAAGCATTGATTTTACTAACAAACTGGGAAGAGAACTAGGTAGGTATCAGTCAACAGAAGAAGAGCTAAAGTAATTATTATATCCATTTAACAAAATATCATGCAACCATTTAAAAAATGAGGCAGTTTCTGTAAGTATCTACTGTAGAAGGTAAAATAGCAAGGTAGAAAAAAGATAAATAGGAAATTTCTTGGTTATAAATACACATACATACTTAATGACATATTCGAGTTTACTTTTCATTAAGGGATATACAAAAGAAACTTAAAATACGGGGATCCCTGCGTGGCTCAGTGGTTAGGTGCCTGCCTTTGGCTCAGGGAGTGATCCTGGAGTCCCAGGATCAAGTCCCGCATCGAGCTCCCTGCATGAAGCCTGCTTCTCCCTCTGCCTGTGTCTCTCTGACTCTCTCTCTCTGTCTCTCATGAATAAATAAAATCTTAAAAAAAAAAAAAAAAAAAGGAAAGAAAGAAACTTAAAATACAGAAGAGACTGTGATTCCTACAAGAAAGCAGAAGGTAGAAGAAGATAGGAGTACACTTTCTCTGTACTATTTGAGTTTTCTATTTCCATAGGTCACCTGAAGAGTCCTGTTTCTGTTTCTGCACAGCCACAGAACAAAGATTACCTAAAGTCCCTCCTGGCATCTGAATAAACCCTTAATAATGGTGTATGAACTATAAAATTGTAGAACAAAAGAAAGAAAATTGTGAATTAAAAAAAATTTTTGAACACTGAAAAAAATTACCTGTAGTCTTTTGCTGAAATAAATACAAGATGTACTTTAGCACAAGTAAACCCAGAAGGAGGATACACTAAGTGATGTGCTTTTCTATTACAAACCGAAATATTGTCAACAAGGGTTATAAACACACAAAAAGCAATGAAAAGATAAAAACTGAGGAGACATAACTTTACAAAATTATTCTGCTTCAAAAGTCAAGTCTTAGGGATGAGACAAATCTTCTAAGAGCTCAGAAGAGCTTTATGAGACCTGAAGAAATATTGCTCTTTGTCATCACTATATCCTCAAATACCTCAGTGTCTTCTACCAACTGACCTTAAAAAATACGTTAAGTAATGACTGTTACGATACTGTCTGTCATCAACAAGTATCTTGTAGTAAGTACAAATGCTTCCATATTTAATCAATGTTATGTCCTAACCATGGCATGACTGTAGTCAGTGGCAAAGTGCCCAGAAGGCTATAAGCAGAAAACAATGCATATATTGGACAGAAGTATGAGAGTAATCATGAAGCCTACGAAACGAAATCTTAAAAAATTTCCCAGTCGACTCTGATGTGTTAACAAATTTTAGAACCACAAAACCACCAGACTAGATAAAGATCTCTCTTCCATCTCTAAGCAATGATTCTGTAACCTTATCTTTTTATAAAGCAATTTAAAATTTTCTGCTAGATAAGAGACTTAGTTTATCTTGAAACATATTATGTAATATAAATGAGCTCAATTTTCTTACAAGAGTGAACTTGCAGAACTGGTAAGTTTAGTGTCCAAATGAAACCAGAAATGTCTGACTAGTTTCTTTAGTTGTTGCACTGGATTTTGTTTAACTTATTTAGTTTCAGGACAGTTATTTAATGACTTGATCATAAATGTTCAATAAATGTTTACTGAACAGAAAAACCAAATAAACAATCCTGGGCTTTTAGGAATTAAGAATCTATCAAAAGGATTTAAAAATGAACGATGATCATATTTTCACCTTTTAAAGAAATACTGGCTCTCGTATGAAGAACAGATTGGAAGAACCAAGATTAAATAACAGTCCAATAAGAAAACTACTGCAGAAACCTAGGTAAGCATCCCGGTACCTTGATCTCTGGGGGTAGCAAAGACAATGTAGGTAAATGTTTACTGAAATGTTAAAAAAATAAAATAAAATAAAATAAAAAACAGCAAAATAGAGAGTAATCAAATGCTTATTTTAAGAAATACAAACTATTATGGATAGTTGAAAAAATGAGCGGCAGGAATAACCAGAAGAAATTATTTCGAGAATTACAGAACACAAAAGAAGCAAAGAGATAATAAAGGCATAAAAAGAAACACAACAAGAGGATAAGAGGAAAAGCAAGCTTCTACATATATTTAAGTAGCTTATCATGTTAGGTGTCTGACCAATGAATATGAGAATAAACGATCACCCATTAGGACTGCTCTGAAAAGTTGTTAGTTCTATCTCAAATGTTTAAAATATTCTTGCCAACTACAACAAATTCAATCCTCCTGAATCCCCGTATCTGTCAGCATACATGAAATCTTTTTCATTCCTGCCAAAGAATATCCTTCTGTAATCTTTGGACAGACAGTATAATCTTATACAACCAGCATTTGTCTTAATTCTTCTTTCCATCAATCAAAATCTTTTAAGTTTTTAATTCCAGTGCAATATTAGTGTCAGGTATACACCAAAACAAAATCTTGATTATGTGACTTTATCCCAAATCTACATACCAAAAATTACCCACTGTGCTTCTCTTTTTGCCAGCAAATCGTCTATTTTTACAAGCAAAATTTAAAAACCCTTTAATAACCTCTAAACAATACAACTTATATAGGTAAACCATTTTTTCTTTTTAAACGCAGGGCTTGAATTCATAACCCTAAGATCAAGACCTGAGTTGAGATCAAGAGTCAGATGCTTAACCAACTGAGCCACCCAGGGACCCAAAAACTTATTTTAATAAGGGATTCTGAGATTGTTGGTTTATTAAAGGAAGTTCTTGGAAAAGGGAGATTTTTTTTCTAATAAAGTGGAAGTCCCAACTATCTCTAAACTCCTAACTGGCAACTTAAATAGTTAATAGGTAACACTGGGAAATATAAACTTAGCTTTAAGAAAAAGAAATTAGGGATGCCTGGGTGGCTCAGCGACTGAGCATCTGCCTTTGGCTCAGGGCATGATCCTGGGTCCGGGGATGGAGTCCCGCATCGGGCTCCCTGCAAGGAGCCTGCTTCTCCCTCTGCCTATGTCTCTGCTTCTCTCTTGTGTCTCTCATGAATTAAAAAATAAAAAAATAAAAAAAAATTAAAAACAGAGGGAAAAAACCATACTGTATCTATTTGAAAGCCCATTTTGGGGGCACCTGGGCGGCTCAGTCAGTTAAGCGGCTGACTTTGGCTCATGGTCATGATCCCAGGGTTCTGGGATGGAACCTTGTGAGAGGTTCTCTGCTCAGTGGGAAGTCTGCCTCTTCCCCCTACTCATGTTCTCTCTCTCTCTCAAATAAATAAAATAAAATAAAATCTTAAAAAAAAATTTTTTACCTTGCCTCATTAGCATTAATTGGTGTTCGTGCCTGGCTGCTTCCATTTCTGCTTCCAGTTTCTCTTTGGCTTCTCTGATGTTTCTATCAACCTGCTCACGCTGCTGCTTTTCCATTTCATCAAGAGCCTTCCATCGAGATGCATATTCAAATTCAAATGTCCCAGGCTGAGCAAAACGTGGCGGCTGTTCTCTTTCCCTAAGTTCACATTTGAAAACACAGAAATATATGTTTAAAAGGCAAAACAATAAATAAGAATTACAAGAACAACCATTTACTAAGCAGTTGCAATGCTCATGGCACTGTGTCAGGCAAGTACTCTATATGTTTACCTCACGGCAATATCGTAATGCATGTTTTAATAGCCCTGAGTTAAGAGACAGCCCAAGGATGCCCACCCAACTAGTAAGAACAGAACCAAGATTCCAATGTAAGCAATCTGATTATTACAAGGTGCACTCCCCTAATTATCACCTTCAATGAGGCCTTTCTGATTTTCACTCAATTTTATGTAAGGCAATCTGCAACACATGAATCAAATATGCCCTAAATTAACCATCTAGAATCAAATTTTTCTTCTAAAAGGAGTAACTTTTGGGCAGCCTGGGTGGCTCAGGGGTTTAGCACCACGTTTGGCCCAGGGTGTGGTCTTGAAGACCTGGGATCAAGTCCAGGTCGGACTCCCTACAGGAAGCCTGCTTCTCCCTCTGCCTGTGTCTCTGCCTCCCTCTATGTGTGTCTCTCATGAATAAATAAAAATAAAAATAAATAATAAAAATAAAAGTAGTAACTTTCAGGGATAGTACTAAAAGCAGATAGCACATTGAGTATTACGTGCTAGGCAAATTGGCTATGCCAAAAAGCAAAGGCCTCACTTACAAATATATCTATTAATTGCTGTAACTCAAGTACCTAGCACAGTATCTAGCAAACTATATACATTTAACATGTATTTCTTGAATGATCAGCAAACAACCAAAAATTTTTTTAAAAGATAATGACCTATGGATGTACTTGAAATTCAAAGAATTTTTTCAATTATTCTTGCCTATCACAACTTCTATTTAAAAATACTGGTAAATGGGGATCCCTGGGTGGCTCAGCGGTTTAGTGCCTGCCTTCGGCCCAGGGCATGATCCTGGAGTCCCAGGATCAAGTCCCGCATCGGACTCCCTGAATGGAGCCTGCTTCTCCCTCTGCCTGTGTCTCTGCCTCTCCCTCTCTGTGTCTTTCATGAATAAATAAATAAATAAAGTCTTAAAAAATAAAATAAAATACTGGTAAGGGCAGCCTGAGTGGCTCAGCAGTTTAGTGCTGCCTTTGGCCCAGGGCATGATCCTGGAGACCCAGGATTGAGTCCCACGTCAGGCTCCCTGCATGGAGCCTGCTTCTCCCTCTGCCTGTGTCTCTCTGCCTCTCTATCTCACATGAATAAATAAATAAAATCTTAAAAAAAAAAATAAAATACTGGTAAAAATAGAATCCCTATCCCACCAATGTAAGTATAGATGCCTTGCAATCCTAAATTTTAACTTTTATTTTAGGGTGGAAAGGGAAAGATGGGTAGGTGAGACAAATGTGGGAGAGCCAGGGAGAGGTTGTCACAGAAGAAAAGATGTAGTAACAAGAAAGAGCTTCAAAAATATTCAGAGGTATATAAGGAAAATCAAAGTTAATCATGATCCGGAATTCTATACCTAAAAAATAGATTTGGACTTTTTCTTTTTAAAACATTGACTGGAGGGGGATCCCTGGGTGGCTCAGCGGTTTGGCACCTGCCTTCAGCCCAGGGTGTGATCCTGGAGTCTCGGGATCAAGTCCCATGTCGGGCTCCCTGCATGGAGCCTGCTTCTCCCTCTGCCTGTGTCTCTGCCTCTCTGTGTGTGTCTCTCATGAATAAATAAATAAAATCTTTAAAGAAAAAAAACATTGGAAAAGGGAAAGGAATGAGGGGAATCAACCACCTACTAATTTTTCTGGAAGAATATTTCTTAGTAATTCCTCAATCAGACTTGGGACTATAATCATCAATATTTTTAAAATCTTCCTTTTTCTCCAAGGGAAACACTAAAAACAATATGGATTTAAGGAGTTAGAATAAATTTGAATCATGGCTCTTATGCTTTGTGAACGAACATTCTCTTCTGAACATAACCCTTTAGTAGCAAAACTAGAAATATAACCAGATCTAAAAAGGTTTTCTGGGTAATTAAATCAGTATATAAACAAACACTCTTATATGTATATAAATTCCACTTTCTATAACACCCTTAAAACTCTATTCTCTAATTCTTAAATCCAAAAGTATGCTGTAGTTCAAATTTGTAATGGTAAACTATAACCACAAAAAATGTCAAGTGACTAGGAAGTCATAGTAAGTCTTTGAAAAATAGCATTGTATGAGAAATTAAAATGGTTCTGAATTACAACTGATGATATCACCAACCCTCTTCCTTTAATGTTTTTCATCGTCTATATACTAGAGTATTCCGGGACTCACTCCTTTGACATAGTTCTCTATCACATGTGGAAACTGTAGCCCAGAGAACTCATCTAAATTCCAGATGTGAATCCAACTACTTACTTGACATCTTCACTTGGATGTTGAAAACTGTCTCAAACGTAACATGCCCAGAGTTCCTGAACTTCCTCCCCCAAACCTGCTCCTCCTACAGGATTCTCCAGACTGATCATTAGCAATTTCCAAATTTCCAGTTACTTTGGCCTACAACCATGTAATCATGCTTTCAACTCTCTCCCATATCCATCAACAAAATCCAAAGTCTATTTTCAAACTATATCCTGAATCTGACCACTTCTCATCATCAACACTGCAATCTCCACTTCAACAGGCTCCAAACTTACTATCTTCTCCAATTCTACTCTTGGTTCTTTATAAATCTATTCTTAAAATAGCCAAAAAAAAAAAAGAGCTATTGTTAAATTTAGGATTAAATCACTACTCTGGGGCAGCCTGGGTGGGCTCAGCGGTTTAATGCCGCCTTCAGCCCAGGGCCTGATCCTGGAAACCCGGGATCGAGTACCGCATCGGGCTCCCTGCATGGAGCCTGTGTCTCTACCTCTCTCTGTCTCTCTCATGAATAAATAAATAAAATCTTTAAAAAATAAAAATAAATAAATCACTACTCTGCTCCTTCCTTTCTCATAAAATACAAAAACCAAGATATCAGCTTGGTATCTTGTATAACCATATATGTATATGTATGTAACCATATGTATAACCATAACCAGCAAGGCACAACAATCTGCTCTCCTCCCAACATCCCTTATCTACTTCATCCGTACTGTTTCCTCTCCTTACTCACCATGCTCCAGCTAAACTGGCCTCTCTACTGTTCCTAGAACTTGCCAGTCTTCTCTCAAGGCCTTTATAGTTACTGTTTCCTCTGCTGAGATCACTATTTTCTCTACTCCATCCTAATTCTGATCCTATACAGCTAGCTTCCTCCCCACTCCTCCAAGCTATAATTAAATCTCACCTTCTCAGTAGGGCTTCTCCAACCACCTGTACAAAGAACCACACTACTCTGTTCCAAAGCATTCACTTTCCTGTATCTTTCTGCTATATTTTACTAATTTTATTGTTTTTTTTAAAGATTTATTTATTTATGATAGACAGAGAGACAGAGAGAGAGAGAGAGAGATGGAGAGAGAGAGGCAGAGACACAGGAAGAGGGATAAGCAGGCTCCATGCCAAGGAGCCCGACATGGGCCTCGATCCCGGGACTCCAGGATCGTGCCCTGAGCCAAATGCAGGCGCTAAACCACTGAGCCACCCAGGGATTCCCTTAATTTTATTGTTTAACCTCCTTACCACCCCTACATAGCACGAATTTCTGGCCTATTTTGTTCACTAGTTCATCTCCTACACCAGGCATAGAACAAACACTCATATTTCTCATCTAAATTAACTACACAGAAAAAACATTCAACTGCACTAAAATCAAAGAATGCTAATTAAAATAACATGCATAAAATACCATTTTGAACATCGCCATCCTTTTGTCACGATAAACAAAAATACCTTTATACATACACCAAGGAGTGTAAATTTTATAATATTTCTGGAAAACAATTTGTCAGTATTAATCAATTTTATATATGCATACATTTTGATCTAAGCCTTTACACCTTTTATTAGTTGGTTTTTTTGAATAATAATTTTCACAATTTAATAGATGTTTTAATTTTTGTTTTTTTGTGTACTTCCACCACCAGAAATATAAGCACCAGGAAGGCAAAAACAGTTCCAAGTTTCACTGAGTGCACCTGGAACACTGCCTAACACAAAAGCACTCCAGTATCTGTTGAATTCATGCATGTAAATATATTAGTTTTATTTATTATAATGAACAAGTACCTGATTAAAAACAACACAATATATTCATGCAGCCAATTCATGCAAAAACATTTCCAGTATAGTGAGCAAAAAGCAACTGGTAAAAGAATAATATACATTTTGAAAATAGACTATTTTTCAGGGCACCTGGATGGCTTGGCAAGTTAAGCGTCTGCCTTTGCCCAAGGTCATGCCATGATCCCAGGGTCCTGGGATTGAGCCCCACTTTGGCCTCCCTGCTCATCAGGGAATCTACTTCTCCTCCACTCACTCCCCCTGGTTCATGCTCTCTCTCGCTCACTCTCTTTCAAATAAATAAATAAAATCCTTTTTTTTTAAAGGCTACTTTTCTTTTCTACCACTAAGAAGAGTACTTCCTGTCCTTACCCTAATAACTAGGATCTCCCCTGCTTTACCCCTGCCAAGTCTCCTTTTAACTTATAGTACACCTAAAACATACTAAAATATTTTCATGATATCTAGATTATACTGTTTCTAACATAATTACTGAGTCTCCATCCACCTACCTCCCACTGCCCAAGTTAATGTTCTACCCATATACAAAAGAATAGCATTCGATGTAGACCAACCAGGATAATATGTATCCTTGATAGCACATATCTAAAATTTCTTTATTAATAAATCTTACTTATGATATTGTTGAGTTTTCTGCATTAGCTTCTCTGGCAAGCCATCTTCATCATCAAACTGCTCCATAGGCTCCACAATGACTGGACGAGGTGTCCTGGGTTGATAAAAGCATAAGAGTTAATACAGTATCTGCAGCTAACATCACACTAGAAATTCTTTATAATAATTCCAAGATATATATGTGGGAAATTTCTCTCTTGAAAAAAATGTCTTAGAAGTTACTATATATACTCTTAAAATCAGTCAATAAACATTTGCTGCACCAGATACAAATGAACATCAATGTCAATCAAAGATGCTTTTTAGAGCATCCTCCATTCAAGACGGCAGAGGAGCAAATCAACAACTCTGAATCTGCATAACCACTCTAGTTAACTTTTACGAATTATGAAGGAAAAGAATCAGTACCTAATTCACATTTTATACATGTGGAATCATCATCTCGATATCCCACCACCTCAAATTCCCACCTCCCAACCTTCCTGTGCCTAAACAGTCTTGTTAAGAAAAGCCTTTCTAAAACCTAAAATGGTATCTAAAACACATCAGCCAAGCAGCCAAGCAAAAGGAGAGGAACTAGAAGACACAAACATGTTCAAAGTGGAGGTTGAGCAGGGGAAATTAAGAGTGGGTGATGAAAGATTATGACTTGCAAATCCTCCTTCTTTACTACTTTCCTAAGTAAAACAAAAGGATGGGAAAGCTGAGGAAGACAAAATAGGGAAATGAAATAAATATCAGATAATATGATGATACTAAAATTTCCTATTATTCACTAACTTTGCTTATAGGGCTTTTATAGCCAAGCACATGATTTTAAAGCTACACCACCAAAAGTAGTCGTGTGTGTTTTTTAACCATACATTTTCTTGTAGCTTAGACTGGACTCATTTCCAAAATGATGCAGTAGTATTTTTACCATTTTTCCAAATAAGCAAATATCATGACTGGTGTGTTCTCAGTGATGAATGCACTGGATTCACTTTTGTAAAAGTGCATTTTGTGCCCTGTCCAAGGAATAGATCAGGGATGATCAGCTGGATGAGAAAGAAGCACCCTAAGAATTTACAGATCTTGGGATGCCTGGGTGGCTCAGCGGCTGAGCGTCTGCCTTTGGCTCAGGGCATGATCCTGGGGTCTCTGGATCAAGTCCCTTTTCGGGCTCCCTGAATGGAGCCTGCTTCTCCCTCTGCCTGTGTCTCTGCCTCTCTCTGTGCATGTGTCTCTCATGAATGAATAAATAAAATCTAAAAAAAGAAAAATTAAAAAAAAAAGAATTTACAGATTTTGTCAAACTGTTTGTGATAAACATCATCACAGTCATAGCTATGAATGTCGTCATTGCTATCATAGCAGTCACCTTCATGTCACCTGTAATAATACTCCTGAAAGGCCTGGCTGCCTAATCTAGTGGAGAAGAGGCTTTGGTTCTTTCTTCTCCTGAATGCCAACTGTCACACTCAGAAGATAGCACATTCATTTGGCAAGATCAAACTGGCATCTGTACATGAAGATTCATTATCCAGCTTTCTTATGATCAGTGCCTTCTACCAGAGCACCTCCTATCGTAGTTGTGTTTTGTTAACTATGTTTACTTTTTCGAACTATGTAAGCCTAACCAAAAATAAAAGATCTGTGCCTAAGCTAAAAATTTTCCTTGCTATCAGTCTCTCACCATTCAAATCATAGTAAATCTACTGCAGCAATAACGCAAGAGCTAAGAAGTGAAGGGACTTTCTGGATTCTAAAAGCTTCCCTGTACAAATAAATGAAGATCCTGAGATCAACAGAAACTTTAAATCTTAAACTATTATTAAATATGATTACTAGGGTATCTGGGTGGCTCAGTTGGTTAAGCACCTGACTCCTGATTTCAGCTAAGGTCAGGATCTCAGGGTCATGGAATCAAGGACCATGATAGGCTCCACATTCAGCATGGAGTCTGCTGTTCCTCTCTACTCCTCCCCCCCTACTCGCCCAACCTCTCTTGCTCTCATAAATAACTTTTTAAAAAAAGAGAAATAAAACCATGAAAAATGATTATTAAAAATTATTCCTAAAAGGCACCTGGCTGGCTCAGTGGGTGGAGAAGGCGACTTTTGATCTCAGGGTTGTGAGTTTGAGCCCCTGCTAGGTACAAAGATTACTTAAAAATAAAATCTTTATTTATTTATTTATTTATTTTTTAATTTTTTTTAACTTTTATTTATTTATGATAGTGAGAGAGAGAGAGAGAGAGAGAGAGAGAGAGAGAGAGAGACAGGGGCAGAGACACAGGCAGAGGGAGAAGCAGGCTCCATGCACCGGGAGCCCGACGTGGGATTCGATCCCGGGTCTCCAGGATCGTGCCCTGGGCCAAAGGCAGGCGCCAAACCGCTGCGCCACCCAGGGATCCCTAAAATCTTTATTTAAAAAAAAAAAATTATTCTTGGGCACCGGGGTGGCTCAGTGGTTGAGCTTCTGCCTTTGGCTCACGTTGTGATCCCAGGGTCCTGAGATTGAATCCTGCATCAAGCTCCCCGCAGGGACCCTGCTTCTCCCTCTGCCTGTGTCTGCCTTTCTCTGTCTCTCATGAATAAATAAAATCATAAAAAAAAAAGAAAAAAAAAGATTCTTGGACCAGTAAAGACATCTTAGAGAAAAAGAAATAGAAGGTGTGGAATACCTTGGGGTGATAAACACAATGGAATTATAGAAACCTCTGATAAACTGAGTAGAAACTCAAAAGAAAAGAGCCTTAGAGGATTCAATTTCAAGGGTGATAACTCCCATCCAACATCTAAATACAGAAGTGTGATAAAGAATGAGTAAATAGGGGCAGCTTGGTTGGCTCAGTGGTTTAGGGCTGCCTTCAGCCCAGGGCGTGATCCTGGAGACCCGGGATCGAGTCCCACGTCGGGACCCCTGCATGGAGCCTGCTTCTCCCTCTGCCTAAATTTATACCTTGTTCCTGGAATACCATTTCTAAAGAGATACATGAATAAGTGAGCAAAGATCAATGATAACCACATTCATCACATTCCATAAAACAAAAGACCATATATAATGTTCAAGAGTAGTCTTGAAGGGACTCTCTTTGTTTCTTGGGTTATATGCTAAAAGGTGGACATTTATGGTTTCACTGTATGCACCACCCCCCTGTAAAAATTCCCCTTGTCTATTATCACACACACATCTTGTTGTTCACTTTGATTTTTTGGTGTTAAAAAAAAAGTTGTTTTTTTAAAAGACTTATTTGTCTGAGAAAGAGAGCGCAAGCATGTGAGAGTGGGGAGACAGGCAAAGGGAGGAGAGAGAGAGGATCTCACCCAGGCTCCCCACTGAGTTTGAAGCTGGAGCCCAATGCGTTGGGGCAGGGAGGACCTCAACTGCATGACCCATGAGATAGTGACCTGAACTATAATCAAGAGTTGGACACTTAAGCAACTTAGCTACCCAGGTAAGTTGTTTAAGTTGTTAAAACCCAACTTAAATTCTCTTTATAGGTACAATCATTTAATTTACTTTTATAAATTTAAAATATTTCATAGAAAAAAAGACTAAAAGGAAGCAAATCAAAGTGGTCAACCATTAATGTTAAGTCTGGAGTTGTTATCTTTAGAGCTTTTCTTCTGCTCACTTTGCCCCCAAATTAATCAATCATTAATTTGGTTGTAATATTGATGCTTATCCATAGTAAGTTTTATTAAGTCAGTCAAATCCTATGATTTGGAAAGGACTTCTGATCATATTTCATAAACATCTCAGATTTTCCTTTCTGGTAGATATACATAATTTTACACAGAATGAATCACCTAGCCATGCTTTCTTCAGACATCCTGTATCACTCAATACAAAATGGCACCATTTCAGATGTATGCATGCACAATAATTTTTTTTAAGATTTTATTTATTTATGAGACACACAGAGAGAAAGGAGCAGAGACAGACAATCAGGCTCCTCACAGGGAGCCTGATGTGAGACTCAAACCCTGGACCCGGGATCATGCCTTGAGCCAAAGGAAGACACATTCAGTCACTGAGCCACCAGGTGTCCCAGCATGCACCATAATTTTTTAACCATTCTTACTGGTGGACATTTAAGGTTTCCATGTTTTTTAAGTGGGACATAATGATTAACTTATTTGTGACTAACCTTTCCTCACTTATTCAAATATCTCTTTAGAAGCAGAATGTGAGAAAAAGGTGTTACACAATAGTAAAAACATGATGCCTTAATAGATGATGCAACATTTCATGTATGCAATTAGAAAATGAAGAATTATATAATGATGACAATTTGTTACACCAGTAAATAATCCTTGTAGACATATATATCGCTTTGCAGGGTTTTTTCAATTTTAGTCTTTAATAGAGAACTTAAGAATAATGATAAAATAATTCCTAGGATGACGAAATAAGATATTTTATGATAGAGGGAAAATAAAATCACTAGGACCTAATATTATCTTAGATTATAAAATACCCAATGGACCTATATTGCAAATTTTAAGAAAAAAAATTAATAATCTTTTTGTTGTTTTGAGACCTCTAAGAAATAATAAAATATAAATCTTTACAAATAATTATGACTGCTTAGAAAAGAAAGTATAAAACTAAAACCGGACCCAGGGCAGCCCTGGTGGCACAGCGGTTTAGCACTGCCTGCAGCCCAGGGTGTGATCCTGGAGACCCTGGATCGAGTCCCACGTCAGGCTCTCTGCGTGGAGCCTGCTTCTCCCTCTGCCTGTGTCTCTGCCTCTCTCTCTCCCTCTCTCTGCATCTCTAAGAATAAATAAATAAAATCTTTAAAAAAATAAAAAAGATAATAAAACCGGACCCAATTGACACTGACAGTATAAGTGCGGAGCAATTTATACTTGCACCATCAGCAGGTATGCCCAGATAACTCTCGTGTTTCCAAGTTATATAAGCAAAAGCAATATCATAATTTTTTAATTAAAGAAGCATTTCTTCTGAATCTAAAAAACTCCATTTAATGGAAAGATATGATGAAGCAAATAAAATGATGGAAATGAAGTGTATAAAATACACAATATACCTGAAACAGCTATCCCACAACCCTAACAGATAATTATATTACTCCAGAATTCA